ATTTTTTTTAATAAAAACGGCAGTTTACATAAAATAAAGGTCTTAATTAAACGCTACAGATCTCACGTATTTCAAATACCTGTACTAAGAAAATCCTGTACCACCTGTATCATCCTGTAGTGTATTTATTAATGGTGTGTAATATAATAAGTATGCGTGTTTTCCACTATTAACCATCCGAAAAATAGCCAGTAGACTAGTGGGTTTATCTTTCACCCGCTCGCTATTATAGAGTGACTAATCCCCGTCTTTGCCTTCAGAGAATAACAAGTATAATAATGTCTGTCTTTTATGTGCTGAATATATGAGTCAGTCTTCAGGATGACCTGAATAAACAGAGCACCTGTAATAAGTTTCAGTTTATCGCTTCGTTCACAGCACTATTCTGTCCACTGCTGTCATAAAAACACAGACGACACAGCGAGAAAACATTAACGACAATGAGCCACACTTGAGAACAACTAATTAACAAACGTCTTAGCACATGTGAAGGAACTCTGCATAATTATTATTTCTTTTATTTCGATCATTTGTGCATTTTTGGAACGTCCTTAACACGTTGAGGTTGGTGAACTTGGAAACAAATGACATTTAATTTACCAAATGAGTCAAAATTAGCTATTATTAAACAGAAAGTCTAGTTCTTGCTACTGAAGATTGTAAAATAAAATATGGAGGCATCTATTCAATCAAGCCTAAACATAATTGTGGGAGAGGGCCTATGATTATTTTTATGCGATTTATTGTCTGTACCCATTAAACATGAATGCTGTATGTAATTATTTAAAAATCATTATTTTAGTACAACGTACTAAATCTCTAACTTCAAGCTTGTTGCTTCAAGAAATGCTTAAAGTTATGTCTAGGTACAGATTGTAAGTATAATCCCGTCGTGCGTACAATTGCTGAACTAACAAAGAATTAATATTATCTACCTTTATTAGTTCCTCGTTAGACAGTTTCTTACGTAAGTAGGGATTAGAGAATTCATTCGATATAAAATGTATACTGCTATTTGGATCAATACAAATAAAAATTTAACTAAGTACATTACATCTATTCATACATTGTACACGATTGAATGCCAAGGTGATTCCCTGGCTCGGAGTCTATGAGAATGAGTCATCGCCAAAATGACTAGATGGCATCCTCAACCGACACATACTTATCTACCTATTGCCTATTACTGGCGCCATCATTCGATTACTAACCCATAAAACTTGTCGATAGCAGCCGATTATGATATTGGTTTCTGTCATTCTCAGAATAAGGCAGAAGTCAACCCATGTTTAATGCAAACATATGGAAATGTAAGCGTGCGCTGCATGTTATATAAATATAGGATCTACATATAAGAAGAGGAGGTACTTTATCGGTAGTGGGTACTACCATTTAAAAAAATATTTTATAGTTATTTAATCGCTACTATAATCAGGTAGGAAGGCATTGAAGCTAGTGTAGTGACCACAGGCGCTAATTTTGAGCACGAACGTTTGGGTTTCATGTTAGGAATATTCAGTAGCAGCATGGGTACAGGAATTGACATAAGAAATTCCTTATCTACTCTTTTAAATGAGTAATTTTCTTATAAAACTGTTGTAAATAAAAAATCATAAATTCTTACAAATCAATTTTATACAATGTGTTTCAATTTTATTTCAAACTAGCTAAACCGACAACTTCGTCTGCGTTTTTCTAAAATAAAAGTAGACTATGTTATTCCTTAGTTATTAGCCAGCCAATAAAACTCCCGTCAAAATCTGTCCAGCCATTTCAGAGATTGGCTAATCTCTGTACAATTTTAATTATTTGTATAGATTGAAACACATTATATTTCCCTAAAAGCTAAGTTACGCGCTGATAGCTTATAGCTTTACAGTAAGCCAACAATGATAAGGATAAAGATATAGAATGGGTTAAAAACCTTGGATACAAGAAAAACACCACAAAGTGTAAAAATTAAGAACATAAAAAATATATACGCGTATAAGTATCATATGAACCTTTTGATGCATATGTTACTAAGATGAGACTATTAGCTTGGACTGTCAAAAAGTGAAAAAGTTACTCTTACTCTATCTTATCTAAAGTCCTTTGTACGTAAATTGCGGCAAAATATTAGAGCCGTAGCTCGTAGTTCGTTTTTCGTAGCGTGTAAATCTTAGTTCGTAGCATTGGCGTATCGATCGCGTACTACGCGCTCTGGTTTCCGAGCATTACAGTACGAACTACGAGCTATGCACTAAGCACTACGGTCTACGGGCTACAAACTATTCGCTACGACTACGGGCTACGAGGTATGGCCTACGAACTTCGCCTTACAAACTACACGCTACGAAGTACGAAGAACAGCATTGTAGTATTTTGCCGCAACTTACGTGTAAAATAAGGACTAATATTTTTTTTATTTAGAGTAAGAAACTTGGATCTAAATGTCATCTGATTACCATTAGAACAGTCCAATCCCAAATATGATTTGGTGTGCGAAACACAACAAGAGTGTAAGCGAATTCTAGTCGGTTTATCAATGGTCTACTACGAAAACTGATTATCACACAGAAAAATAAGACATTTTCTTTTACTTTTTACTAGGAAAAAAAACATTTTTTTTTTACTAGGAACAGTTTAAGTCTTCTACTGACCTCTGAGTAACACGACTTACGTTCGTTCGTTCGTACGTTCGACTGCACGGTTGGTGCGGTGGCTGGGCAACCGGCTGCCGTGCAACGTGTCGCGGGTTCGATTCCCGCACGGAACAACACTTTGTGTGATCCACAAATTGTTGTTCCGGGTCTGGGTGTCATGTGTATGTGAATTTGTATGTTTGTAAACGCACCCACGACACAGGAGAAAATCCTAGTGTGGGGCAACGTTTAAAAAAAAAAGAAAAAAAAAAAAAAAAAAAAAAAAAAGTAACAGGTCGCGGCATAATATCAAAAACTGATTTTCACGACCTTTCGGCTTTTTGCAGGCTTTCACCGTGGCTTAGTCCTTAAAATGTCTGTAAGTTTGTAATTACTGGACTATGTAATATCCTTACTTATTTAAAGTCATATATCGTGTTAGTTTATCGTGATAAAGTCTATTAGGTAGTAGTTAACAAAAATAGTAGTGGCGTGGTTGTGTGAAGGTAGGTACTGGTAGGTACCTAACACTAGATCCATTGTGATATAGTACACAAACAGGAACTTTTTGTTGCCGTTACGCCAGGAAACCGAGTATTTGCCATTCTTTACACGTGCCTTTACGAAGTTTAGCGTAACAACATTTTTAAGTAGCATTTAACACATTTTGATAACGAGAACTTCTGTCTTATCGTCACTGGTTTCAGTTTAGGAAATTGGATTTTGGATGATATTTTATATTAATAAGACAGGCAACAACCGAATCCTTATTTTTGTAAGTAAGTAGGTATCAACGTAAATTATGTTACAAAAAATCTTTCCAGAGTTGTTATGTTGTGATAATCTTAAAAAGCAAAATAACGAACGAACCTTGATTAATTAAGAAGTTAACCGAATTTCGTAAGGTGAAACATTAATTGTTTGCAACAAAATTACGTTGGTTACACAAAACAGTGTCTCGGTAAATAACTATAAAGTAGGCACTTAATGCTGAAATGTAGTGCGTATTTAATCGTCAGTGCAATGTATTATCAGATTGACCAACTTGGCGGACTGTAGCGATCGGCTGACGAGTGCACTATCAACAAAGATTACAAATAAACACAGAAAGCTAATGTATCTACAAAAAGAACTGCATCAGATTAATCAAGCGTTTTATTGGCTTAGCGAGTGTGTGAAATGTCAACACACATATTTGTGCGCTTACGCAGACTATATTTCTGGACATTATTTCGTTAAGGTCAAGTGCAAAGTCAGTAAAGTTTTTATGCGTCGGCTGTTACATGGTACAGTATTTATTTTAGTATTGTATGTTTATGCACATAAACTTTTATATGTAGGGTGGTGTAGTAGAATAAAAGATGTAAGTAAGATTTAGCATTTTATTACAGAAAAAGTTGCAGCTGCACTCATTAGGCGGCTACTGGAAAGGGGTATAAGTTATGCAGTTTATGCACTGCTGACAAAGGTACAGTAAGTATAGATCATGACAAAACAAAGTTGTATGCAACGCATGAATGCATCGGCGAGCTCACCCACACCACATCCTACGTATGAATAATGGATACAAATAACGTGCAATTAATTATGAACGAGCTCTAATTAATGCCGGCCAAGTCCCAAATGCATCTAACTGTAAGTGACAAGGCCGCCAGCAGACTGGCAAGTGACACTCATAATTTTCAATGTGCGTGTATGATGTGCCATGATGGTCGTCGAAATACATGAATTATAGCGGGAATAAACGTGATATACAATGATGAAGTACGCCGATGTGCCGGTTAGAGTAACTCTTTTCATCGCAATGAAAACATGCGTTCAGATTTAACATAGTGGCCGTTCCAGATAAAACCCGCCTACATGCTGAAAGAATTAAAACATCAATCAAAATGCGAGCTAAAAATAATATCCCAAATGTATGGTCTCACTGTTTCTGTGACTCAATAGTAATACTGACCGGCGACTAACATCCAACATTCTTTCCTGATTAAAGCTCGCCAGATAAAATAAGAAATGTAATTAGAATGTTTCAAACATGAGCTAATCGTTATTTACGGATTGGCGGACTGCACGAAAGTATACATATTTGAAAAAGACAACTAAAATAATTGCACTTTGTCTCAATTTGCCCTTCAAACACGAAACTGTTACAGGACATTCGAAAATACAAGTCACGGATGAAATCAAAGCCGACATAATAAATCACAATTTAGAAAAACAATAACAACTTCTTGGCAGTACTGTAAGGAGAATTTTTGTTAACATTTATCATATTCTAAAGAAATACTGAAAACTTACACTAGACACAAAAGTATCATTGTTGAATACAATAATATTTTATTATGTCTTTTTAGTTATAAAAATACATTTAATTATCATGTTGTACTCAGAGTACCTACAAATTAGACGTAGCAAAATGCTACTCTATGTTACTTGTGCTATTCACAGACATGTTAAAAGACTTGTTGCATGTTTTAGGCCGATTTAAGTCTGGTTTTAGCGTCACGCTGACTGTCGGCGTTGACAGCCTGACAACTACGCGTTATTCAAAACACTTTATTAGAAGTTCATATATCTTGGCTGTCAGTACCGACGGTGAGCGCGACTCTATAGAACGAGGCACGCTGATCGTCAGTTCTGACCAGCTATGCGTTGAGTTGTCAGCGCTGACAGTCAGCGTGGCATAAAATCAGCCTTACAGTCACTAAGCTATTTATACACCGAGATTCAAAACGTTTAAGACTAGAGGGCAATCAAAAGCATACTTTTAAAAAGATTATCATGTTGTGCGAAATGCATTTAGTCGAAAAATAATACCGCCGCCAGATGTTGATGAACACCATTCCGATTTATTCATCAAGAACAGACCATAATGCCCTTTAAAAAGTATCTTCTAGAACCAAATAGAGTTGAGTATAAAAATCTTATTAACTAGGTACATTACGTAGATATGTCTAAATAGGGGTAAAGTTTCAGGCTTTTACATGAGCCTGTCTACACTCTTTTTTCTTTACACAAATATAAACTATATTTAAGAACTTATTTGTCGGTTTATTAGTTAAGTACACAATACTCAAAACATTTGTTTGTGCTATCAGTAAAAACCTAAAATACTTGTACTTAATGAGAAAAATCATTTGGTTACAGCATTATGTACAGTACAGTTAAAAGTACTTATTATTTGTATCAAGTAATACAATAAAAATGGCACAAGCTGACACAAACACCACACTAAACATACAAAAACTGTGGTTTTAGTTTTATATGAGTTGCAGTATCAATTTTGATACCTACTTCTCGCTCACTCTCGATCAAAAGTAGGTAATCGTTATTACAAAAGAAACTTGGCATATTATGTCGAATAGTTTAACGACATATTCGTAATACTTATACCAAATTTGGGGAGCAAGATGTGACAACAGAACAAAAACTTTATATCACATAAAAAACACCAAGTTAATACATCAGCCCTCAGACTTTGAACTCATATAACAACAGTTATGAGAGACACACATTTATTTCCTTATGAACTGTGAGAAATAGCTTCTGGCTTGGTAGACTATCATACCTAGAGAAGCAACGACGACGGCTTCAGTGAAGTATCCCAGCACTATGTCCCGCATTGTCTTTTCTTTGATAAGATCTGCAGGCTCTGGATTATTCTCAGCTATCTAAAGACGGTATTTATCAGGTGTTAGTAATAATATTACGATTGTTTCTGTACAATTTTTTATACTTATGTGGGGGAGCCATGCCTCGGCACGAATGGGACGGTTCGACCGGAGTGATACCACGGCCTCACAGAAAACCAAAATGAAACATCACTTTCGTCACGATTTGTCGTGTGAGTGAAGTTACCAAAGGCCCAATTACCCCCTTCCCCAATCTCTCCAATCTCCCATTCCCCTAACACACTTGTAACACCTCTGGTGTATCGGGTGTCCATGGGCGGCGCCGATTGCTGACCATCAGTTGATCTGACGCTCGTTTACCGGTTTACTCCATTAAAAAAATACTTTTTACAATCAATAAGTATGACTACTGAATAAGAGGGTGTTCAAGATCAAATCTTGATTTGGATTTACGATTTTTGAAAATGTCAGTAATAATACGCAGTCAGGAACTGTGCCCGATATATATTAGTTACCATTACAAGTAGCAAAATGTGCACCTATGCTTCACCTTCAGGCGAGATTGTATCGGTATCATCGTTTCGAGAAATATTTTGCAGACTTGTGTAGAGGACAGGCACACCTGTCCGTTACGTCACAATGTATGCCCTCTAGTAGGCCGATTTCTTGAGTGGTTTGTGCAGTCAGGGTCAACCCAACAAAATACATACATACATTCATATTAATTATAATGACATAGCATGATTTCATGATAACTACGTATTTATCAGCCTAATAATTTTGTTACTTACCATCTTGTAATTTGTTAAAAAATTAAGTTATAAGTACAAAGACATCAAATAAATTTCTCTTACCTTTTCTAAAACAATCTGTACTCTGGCAGAAGCTCTTTTAATACAGTCTACGTTTGAGAGCATGTTCTTGGCCGCGGTGACCATTTTTTCACGTATTGGGGACTCAGGTGGCTCAAACTTGATTTGATCTTGAATCTTGTTGTATTCTCGCAGAGTGTACTGGAGAGTTGCTTCTAACACGTATATTTGATGAAGGTGGGATCCCAAAGACGTCAAATAGTTCAGCATACTGGAATTGAGTCACATATTGTTGAAATACAGTTGCATTTCATATGGCGGTTTCCAAGTATGTATTATGATTTACGAACAATGAAAAAAGCGGTCTTAAAACTCATAATACTGTTGAGTAAGAACTTTATTAGAATATTATTATAATAATATTATGAAGAATATTATTAGGAATATTATTCCTAACTTTATTAATATGAGTATCAATAAAAGTTGAAGTGATTTTTAAAGTAGTTTTAGGAATAAATAACGAAACAGGACAAAATCATTACGTTTTTTTACGACTGATTTTAATCTTGGATTTTGATAAACATTTAATACAATATATTATCTTCATTTTAATACTATATATATTCAATATATTATAGATCAAAATGTATATTTAAATAACATTTGCGGAGTTGCAGAACAAATCTATAGATTTGTTCAAGTCATCAACAAGCAATAGTTACCTAAAATTATCAGTAGGCTGCAGAGCAAGACCAGATACGGCCTTAAGTTTCCAGTTCCTCTTATGAAAGTGACGAAGTCCACTCTTCAATCTTTGTCGTTCATATGGTAAGTCCATACCTAACTTCACCATATCATTTTCTTCTAGCAATAGGAATGTCCTCAAATCCATGCCAGACTTCATAATCGTTGAAGTGAAGTTCTCAAGGTGCATACCATATAACAGGTGAGGGATTTCGCTTCTATAGTCTGGACTGTAAAAGGAGCAGCAGTAGATTAATTAAAGTGCCCGGTATAATAATAATAGTTATATTGTTTGTAAGTGTGTTGCTATTACAATTTCACCAGGCGTCATTACATTATAGGCTCACGTAAACGGAAGTAAGAGTAATAATTGATAAATAGACAATTACCTCTGCCCCTTTTTAATACCCGGATAGAAATCATGCCAAGTGGTAATTTCCATATCATATGACTCTTCATGATCCTCCGGTATTTGAAGATGCCTTTTCAATATTTCCACAATTTCATTATAATCGTGTAACTCGGCTAGTTCTAAGGCTGTACGATTGTATTTGTCGACTTCTGACATCCTCGCTCCACGGGCTATCAAGATTTCCAATATTTGAGGTTGATTGTGGTGAGCTGCCCAGAACAATGCCTGTAATGTAACATCAATAACATATACAAAATTGTTATGAGTAAAATTGAGCATATATTATCATGGGGACTTTGAAAAATAAGTTTCATTAAGTATTTTGAAACCTTATCTAAATTTTCTGTGGGGAAATTAATGTATTTCAGAAGATTATGTCGTATAATTATGACCTGAATATGAAGTCTACCTCCTACTATGAAAAAAGGTATTTGTGTGTATCAAAGTATCAAACATTTAAATGGAATTTTTAAAATCCTCAGTATTACCACAATATTTGTTTGTGTTTGTTTGTCCAATTTTTAAATGTATATGGAATATGCTGGAATACAATGTCAAATAACTTAAAATATTAATGTACTTACAGTCCAACCTTGTAGATCTCTGACTTCAATATTTACTCCGAGATCTAAGAATTTCTGTACAACATCAACCTGCCGCAGCCAATAGCCTTCATGAGTGGAGTTTGTCCATAATTGTCCATACAATTTATTTTGCAGTTCCTCTCCAAGAGGTTAGTCACAATGTTGCTTATCACTTCATTGCTGGCATTACTATTTGAGCACACAGTCATTATTGGCGTCATGGAGTCTGTAATTTTATAATACTTATTTTATTTACCAACACTCTGATATGCATTAAATATAAAAAAATAAGTAAAAGAAAATGAATAAATGGAGCAAAAGTATTGCAATAAACTATTTTTAAATATAATGTAGTATGTGTTATTATTATGTGTGTCCATAAGAATTAATATTCTTTATGATAGTCTACAAAAATAACTAATGGAATCATTAATTTTACTTATATCACAGATATTGGTTACCTGCACGAAAATTGGGGTCAGCTCCTTCCTCCAATAAATATTTAACAATAGCATCTTGTGCATGGAAACATGCGTGCATGAGAGCGTTCCAGCCGCTGTCCAGCCGAGTGTTGACATTGTTGTTTAATCCTGTAACCACAACATTAATACATTTAATAAATAAACAATTAAGTGTGTAATGTAGCTGAAAATGAAAGAAATCCTAGAAGACAGAAGCTACAGAAGTTGGAAGCCTGTAAATAATCCCTTTCATCTACCAAGATGACCAGTAGCAAATCAAGTCGCTTTTCTCTATTATTGCTGTTGAGAAGCAAGGCAATCATCTTCAGATGTTAAAAAATATATAAAAAGATGCAGTGTAAATTACTATTATTATACTATAACTGCATGATCATTTAGTGTGACACAAAATAAAATTTAGGTTTTAATTATAGGTAATCTTACTGGTAGCAACAATTTCTTGCACTTCTGCCAAACTTCCATTAATGATGGAATCCTGCAAGTCCATTTCAAGCTTTTTCTTGTCATTTTCTTGTTGGTACTGGAAGTAATTCCTTGGCTGTAAGCAATAAATTTTTGTAAATAGTTTTGTTTTAATTTTGGTATTTTCAATGTACTTATAACTATAACATTTTCAATTGTCATTACAAAAACCAATGCTTTTTTTACAACTCAAAATTACCTTAAAAATCTATATATATAAAAGAAAGTCGTGTTAGTTACACTATTTATAACTCAAGAATGGTTAAATCGATTTGGATGGAAATTGGTGGGGAGGTAGCTTAGAACCAGGAGACGGACATAGGATACTTTTTACCCAATTCTTTTTTTTTTACTTTTTACCGAAAATCAAGAACGGGAACGGGAAATATCGGGATTGCGCGTACGAAGTCGCGGGCAGAAGCTAGTTTAATATAAAAATAACAGCTAAAGGCTTCAAAAAAATTATACCAATGTTATCTACATTATCAAGACACATTTTAATTTAATATTTGACAGGATTGTATGATTAATCATTTGTATTAATTCTGAACAAAGGTGTAGGTTGACATTTAGGGCGCCTTGTTACCCTGATGCTGGAAATAAATCTCAGTTTGACCTAGATATTTATACTATAATCGGTACATTTTCAATGAGACCAATGATTGATTTTCTTACATGAGCTCATTTCGTTGATAAATAGGACATAAAAGGAAGAACACATTTCCAAATAAATACAGGCTCAACTAACCGGCTCATCGAAATAGCCATAATAGTCATCGGGGTCCGAATCCGACTCTCCTCCGGGTCTACCTGCCGTATGAGTCATTGTAATGTTTCACTGAAACTATCTGTATATAAATGACGTTTTCTCAATTTTTAGGACTATTTTACATTTAAAATATTTTGCTTTTTTTGAGGTTAGGTTTCAAATTCAAAACAAAACTTTGGGATTATAATGACAGTTGACATAGACTGACATTGACGTATTTGACGTGAGTTTTTTATAATGTTGCCAGTCACAAAATAACTTCAGCGACCGAAATAGTTTTAATACATTTTGTTATAGAAACTTTTTGCAATCAGCAGTAGTATTCTTTTGCTGAATTTAGAGAAACAACAAGTATGAAAGTTGTTTGTTAAAAAATTTAAAACTAAAACTAGGTACAGAAAATCGTCATAAAACTGCTTGCGTTGTGTTTGGCGTTCTCTAATCAGACATTAGTCATTATCATTATTGATATTTTATTGCTTAATTTACCAAAACTACCCAGGTTTAGGACAATGTCTTGGTGTTAAATAATAAACACCTTCACATCAACAGCCTATAAGTATACGTATAAGTGGCCACTACTGACCAAACCCTGCTTTTCGCGTAGAGAAGGCTTGAACATTAATCACCACGCTTGCTCAGTGCAGGTTGGCTACCTTATAGACCTAATGTTTGATTCGAGTGGAGGTTCGATTCATAAGTTGCCTTAATGATCGATTGCTGGGTTACATTACAATTTCAATATTACGTATATCGAAACTCTTTTCAACATTATATGTACTTACATAATATTCATACAAGACACCGGTTTGTCTACACAAACATTATCTCATCTTCCAAAAAGTCTACTGCAAAACAAATACCTTCTCCTGCCAATCTATTAATCTATATTTATAATTCAAAATAGTGTAATTACCTACTATTATAAATCAAGAACGGCTAAATTGATTTGGCTTAAAATTGTTGGAGAGGTAGCTTTGAACTAGGAGACGGACTTATGATACTTTTTATCCAATACCTTATTTTTACTTTTTACCGAAAATCAGGAACGAGAACGGATAAATGATAAATAAATAATTTTTTCAGTTACTAGTTACAGGTTTCTGAATCCCGAATATGTTTCAATTTCTACATATTTTGATGGGAATGATCAGTTAGTTTATACCTAAGTAATAATATTTTACTAGGTATCGGTACTTTCAGTCATTGTAGCCTACATACCCAGCAAAAACCTTTGTAGGTACCTATTTGAATGAGTGGATGCCTACTTATCTTTGAAAACAAAAGCAATGAGTCAGTCAATTTGAAGAAAGCCGAGTAAAAAGTCTCAAGTACAATTCACGAGGTTGGGAGTTATTCTCCGCGTCGAAAGGTAAGGATAATAGGCAACAGTTCCAATTAGACGACGAGGGCGTTTGTTAACATTTAATTAACGTCAGGGAGCTATTGTGTCGGCGGCGGCGCAGACACCAGAGCCGAGCTTCGTTGCTATGTCTTGATGAGCTGCAGTCACAATGTTTCCAATTACAACAGTTTTTTAGAATGCCACATTGCCTTAGTGAGTTGAACGAACAATGGATGCGGGATTTTTATGAAGTAATGTCATTAGCCATTAAAATGGCACCATATAAGAAGTTTAGTCAAGGAGGAATAATGGAGACTTTTTATCAATAGCTTACGTTGTATGACCGTAGGGAAAAACATACTACCTTTTTAAATCAAGTTAAAATATTGCAATAATAGGCCTACCTACTGCCTACCCAATATTGCTGGGTTTTTATCAGAGATTGAATGTGGTTCTTCCCCAAAACGCGCTCTTGCACCTAACTAATGCCAGTTAGTTGATTATTTATAATTAAACATTTACCCACCGTAAATAATACGAAAAGGTTAAGTTGCTAGACAAGAAGCTCGAGTTACATATTTACCCATTACTTGAATACCGTGTAACACGCGCCGTGATTAAAAAATTAAAATAATTTTTTAATCACGGCGCGTGTTAAAACTTTGATTAAGTTTGTTACAAAAAGAAGTAGATATACTACTTAACCTACCTACGAACAATGTAGATAATATGTTGTTAGGTTGGTATGTACCTCATTGCTACGAACCAAAATAGGTAGGTACTTAGTCACGAATATAATTGGACGGTAATTTTTTATCGTGTGGTCGAAGAAATGTTTGTGAATGTAATAGGGATTTTTCTTAGCGACGTAGAAGGTAAAAGATTTGATTTATCGTAGTCGGTTGGTGAGGCGCGCTGACCACCCGGCCCGGCCGGCCGCTGCAGGGCCGCTCGCCGCCCGCCCGGACGCGTTATTAAACTTTTCCCCATATTAAACATTCCGGAGACGAATACATTTTATTGTTGCCTCGGACCGACGTCAGAGGCCCCTACAAAGCGAAACTCAAAGACGGCAATTGCGAAATAAATTGAAAGCAATTTGATATTGCGTTGTAAGTAATAGCCGTCAGAACCCACAAGTCTGTAAGAGACACTTTGTATGCAATTTAGAAAAATTTCAACGGGTCATTTGCTTGTAGCTTTTTGGTTGAATGCTGCTCTGGAGATTTATGATTTAGGTTCTAGTAATATGTGGACTAACTTGTATTTATTGTACCGGAATTCTTAAACTCGCGATTTGTTCAGCGAACGAAGTAACATCTGAAACAAACAATAATGTAATTATTATAAACTCTGTGAGTGTGTACATACGTACTGTGACTTATATGTAGGTATAGATAAACCATCCAATTAGACGCCGGCTTTGTTACCTTTTAATTAACGGAGTTGTGTATAGTATACTGTAAAGGACTGCCAAGTAATGTAAGTAACAGCTTTTGACTTACACTACTCTTTCTACTTTATTAAAATGCTGTTATAGCCTCTACTCTAGTATATGTATCACCAAAAGAAAAAAAAGAAAATAATGATCAAGTAAGTGGGTACTAATCTGGACTTCTTCTCGACAGTCGATCAGATCCTTGATCCTGTAAATTGGTCCTTGTCATTCTTTGTTTAAGATTTATAATATTAATAGCACATAGAACGTGGGATAAAATATTTGTAGGCTACATTATCTGATTACAATTAACAGATGCAATTGATATAAGACATAAATCTGTCTACATTTAATTGTTTTTTCGTCTCAGTCCGTCTTGTAGACGTCTTCATCAGACGGCGGTCTAATCCGAAATCTCATTTCCGACGAATAATTGTAGGAAATAGAGCGAGCCTCTGCGGCGTCGCGCTGAAAAAACCCTTGAGGGGAGGAGATACACGTTATCTTAGTCCCGTTTAAGAATATTTTTAATAATAAAATGTGTACCTAACGAGTCAATGCTAACCTCCCACCAAAGTATAAAATCGTTTTATAGGAATGTCTTTGAGTAAATTCAAATTGTTGTGTTCTGTAATTATTGGCGAGGAAATAGATCATAGTCGTAGCATAAATTTTTTTATTAAGATGAATTTTAATTGAAACCAAAAAGGTTTAAAAATTCTCGTAAGAATATCGTCTACGTAAAGGAATCTCAGTTATGGTTTTCACACGCAAGGCATCCAACCCACAAAAGTGGATAAGTCAGACATTTGACATAAACACCAAAACCGGTGTTTGTCAAAGTAATAGGAAGTGTCGTCAAAACATTAATTGGTTACCCATTGTTACACAAACAAGCGAATTAATCAAGCTTGTAACCGAATCAAGATCCAAGATCCCGTGTGGTATTGCACGTCAACGATAAACAAAGGCCATCCTGCAGCAAATTATATAGAGCCTTGTAAATTTATACATGAGTGTAGCTGGTGGCTGGTGGCTGCTAGTAGGTAGTGTATAAGTAAGAGAGGTCCACCCCGCTAAGTGATTGGATCGGTCCATTATCTTGTATCTGCTGATTTCTTCAGAGCACTCCAACTCTTTTGATTCACTCTAAGCAATGAATGTATTTATCTGTTTTATCTATACGATGAGTATAAAAGCCATTCATTAGATATAGTCAGCAGTTATTATGAAATTGTGCTCCCATTAAGTGTATGGATATTTTAAGATATTTTTATGCTTCTGCGCTACTGTTTTATTTAGGTAGAATTTTAGTACCTACCTATTTATTGGCATTGATTCAGCTAGTTGTCTTAAGTTGTCTATATGTTTGTGAAGGCAAAGAATATACCTACCAATTGAGAATTATGAATACGATTTCACATTGTTTTTGTTTTTCTTCTATTTCTATACATACCCAGTACAGATGAGGCCCGATACGGAGCCGCGGATGAGTAGGAACAGGGTAGTTTTTATTCAGTAAGAGTCTGACACTCCCTTTCGCCTACTCCAATGCGGGAGAAGGCATAGAATGATTTTCCTCCTTCAAAAAAGGACATTTTTCATTAAAGATGTTACACAGCTCTTGTCCTTGTAAATTCTTTTATTTACAGGTAATATAATTTATTACTACAACATTCAGTCGACATAAGATAAAAAAAACTGATGCAATTAAACCAAACCGTTTACTTTCAACCGAAACACACCTCGAATCCGCGTCGTTTATAGTCTTTACCTAATTAATTAGGTCCACGTAAAACTAATTAATCGAATAACAGTATCAGATAAATAACTATATTTACTAGAGTTATATAGTAAACTGTTAGTTCAATAGTTAATTTATGTGCATACATATTTATTGCCAACGTAAGTACGTAGAAATATTGTAAGGAGCAGTGAGAGAGTTACGAGGTAGACTTATGGCTTCCATTCAGTGAGGGAGAGATAATGCTTGCAGGCAATCACATAAGTGGATCAAATAGCTGTAGTCCATTTGGATAATGAACTAGCGACTCTGTAGCCTCGCTCACTTCTTTTTATTGTGCACTCTTTCATATAACTAATATTAACTAAGTATTTATATTATACGTATGTACAGTTCGAGTTCAATGTTTGTAAATGATTGATTAATGAAATTACGAGATTGTCTGTCTACTGGGGCGGGCTGGGAATAAATCTGGAGCCACTTAACTAATGGTATGTATGTATAAAGGTTTCGTCTCTGTTTTACTGGCTCTTAACGTAAGAAAACAAGTAATGATGAATCAATTTTTAGGAAAGAATTTGCTTATAAAATCTTATTATTAAGAGAATTAAGGGATTAATTAACTGTCATAAATGTCGTCTGCATAAAGTAGGTACGTACTTAGTTATAATTACGTGTAAATCATGGGACCGAAGAGGATAAGTACTGAACTTATAACTCCCAGAAACTAGGGAAAGGGCTACTACAAAGTTCTTATTGCAAATGTTACATTACTGATTAAAATGACTGGTAATTCTGTCGACCATATTAAACGCGTAAAAGCCTTGCCATTTCGATACCAGAAGTATCAATTAATGTAAGGGACATTTTGACGAAAATAAGTTATATATATCATTGGATCCAGAATTTTGCGCTCTATCGATTGGTATTATTAAAAAAAATCTATCGTTAAAAAAAGAGCCCTTACAGTAAAAATTTTTGGCCTGCGTAAAACGATTTATGACAGAAAAATTGATGTAACAGACATTTATACATTTTTTTCTCTGAAAAATAAAGTAAGTCATAGTATTAAATAATTTACACCCTTACCTTAAACCTCAAATCAGTCGATTTAAATAACATGTCCCTTACTTTAATTCAAGATTATTCATCATCATCATCATCAACAGCCTATAAATGCCCACTGCTGAGCAAAGCCTCTTCTCACATGGAGAAGGTTAGAGCATTAATCACCACGCTTGCTCAATGCGGGTTGGCGATTTCAAACTTATAATTAGAAATTATAAGTCCAGGTTTCCTCACGATGTTTTTCCTTCACCGTTTGTCAGTGGTGTCTAAATAATCTTAGAAAGTACATATAACTCGGAAAAAGTCACATTGGTACTTGCCGTTGGTAGGTTTCGAACCCGCACCCTCATGCATGAGAAGTGGGCGTCTTAAACCTCCGGGCCACCACGACACTCAAGATTATTGTTTTTTCTAAATTATTCTCTTACATTATGACATAAGTCAAAGGAACACAGACAATTTGCCATCTCTATATAAAGAGAGGCTCCCAATTTCCATTCCAAAATACAATGATCTCAAAAAATTGTGCGACACGGCAGGGCCGCGCCGACCCCCGGCAGCGCCTGTGTGCGGAATCGATGGAGCGCCTCTTTTTTACCGACTTCAAAAAAGCAGGAGGTGCTATGTTCGGCTGATTGATTTTTTTTGTTTGTTCGCACATTACTCCGCCATTTGTACACCGATTTCCAAAAATCTTATTTTGTTTAAAAGGGTATACTCTCGAAATGGTCCCATTTCCATGAGCTCAGAATCTGATGATGGGATCCTAGGGAAACCGAGGGGAATCGAGGAGAACTTTCGAAAATTTTAGGGGCAAGTAATGAGTTTATTATGTTTTTCAATTACGATTTTTAAACACTACAATTTGATAACGGTCTGGAGTCGACCTGATGATGGAGCCGACAGACAATCGAGAGAACTCCTCAGCTGTTTTTATTAACTACCCTTTGCTTGGGCTTCATTAATTTAGTACAAACACAAGGTAGTTAATATAAACCGCTGAGGAGTTCCCTCGACTGTCTGTCGGCTCCATCATCAGGTCAAATCCAGACCCTTATCAAATTGTAGTGTTTAAAAATCGTAATTGAAAAACAAAATAGACGCAGTACTCGCCCATAGAATTTTCAAAAGTTCCCCTTGGTTTCCCTTGGGTCCCATCATCAGATCCTGACCTCATGGAAATGGGACCATCTCGGGAGTATACCCTTTCAAACAAAACAAGAATTTTCGAAATCGGTTCACATATGGCGGAGTACTGAAAAAAAAACAATCAGCCGAACATACGTACCTCCTCCTTTTTTTAAAGTCAGTAAAAAGTTCAATGCGCACCTTACACACACTTTCAATCAAGTGATTGTTCAATTGTTTTGTTTTAGCTTGACTCTCTCGTTCGTTAAAATCGGGGAATCCCTGTGACCCTACTCCTATAGCCTCGCACGCATCGCATCGGGTTGCGTTCACAAACTCACTCATACTTACTCATACAAAGTCGGCGCCTTTATGATTCAATATAACTAGTAGGTACCTACTTTATCTGTGGTTCAAAAGATCTGCCGCCGTTTTAACGTTGATCTTGTAACTCGTAAGTAATGTAAACTAAAACCCTGAAACCATAAACGTGATTAATAATAAACATAAATATTGAGAGACTTGTTTAATAAGCGTAATATAAGTTTTGTTGTATACAAGGCCTATGTTGCGCCTATTGTACCTACTTACTTATCGATACTCTACTACCAAAAATATAATAATTAAGGTAACAAAAATAATTCAAGTAGAGGTGGTGGCGCGACACGGCGCCCCTATTGTCTTGGCGCCTGTGTGCGCCGCACACTTCGCACACAGGGGCGGCGCGGCCCTGCGACACGGGCATAATACCAAAAAGATTTCATGTTGAATATTTGAACCTGCCGACTAAATCGTCAGTTAAAGATACCCTCATTGAAACTGATGACGATGAAGATGTGAAGACAGCTGATGACGATAACTAGATAAAATACCAAATAGAAAAAGTTATTTCAACCCTTCCGATTTCACCATTAAAAAAGTTTAATTTACTAATAGTTATCATCATAATCTGTCTGCCCATTCCTAATTATTATATATTTATTCTTGTAATAATATATATATTAGTGTTCATGTTTTATATTATTTTATTCATTTTTTTCTTCAGACAATTCATATTTTGTCATCGTCTTTCGTTTCCAGTACATTCATTAAATTACTCAATAAATAAGACTGTTGATTAAGTTTGAGAAAATATTTTTTCTTTATTTATTATAAAACCAATGAAACGTAAATATTAAAAGTACATAGTTTGTACAACTGTTAATTAAGGCCTTAGCTTTGGTCAATCATAAGAGATCATGGAGTCAAATACATAATTATATTTTTTTAAATTGATTAAAATGTGTGTAAGACTGTTAATTTGAAGACTGTTAATTTTAGGACATTTATTTAAACTTAACAAAAACTGTTATAGACTGATTAGTATGTTGAATTTATAATAATTACGCAGAAATAAAAGTCGAAAATAATAAAAATATTTTAACAAGAAATCTTTGTATCCCTAAATTTCATTTAAATTTGTGATAGCTAAGCTCATTAATCATGCAAAGAACCTATTTCCAAAGTATCAAAATACCATAATTTTAGTAAATAATCTATAGTTACATCAAACTGCAATACTATAAAAGTTCTTTACAGTAGAATTTCGTATAATTTTCTATTTCTTTTGCTGCTTACGCTATGCTTGACGGTTTACACATAAAATATTGGTAACGTAAGGCACAACTAAACATATTTTTTTAATAAATAAATAAATAAATAAATCTTTATTCATTATAAGAATTGGTCATATTACAGATAAACATCTTAATTTAAAATCAGAGATCACACTAGGTTTAATGCCTGTACTAGGAAGAATATCCTGTATCACAGGCGAGAGGAGCACACACAATAATACTAATTCTAGGACAAGTTATATATATAAACAAATTCCTTAACAGAAGTAATCGATCAAAGGTAAAGTTGATTATTTAATATACATACATACACAAGTACATGACTACATAACATGATATATAACTAAATATTAATGTAAGGGACATGCTATATTTTAAACCGCTGGGTATTCCAAAATATTAACTTTATAGCATGAAAGAAGAAGAAATTCTAAGAAACTTTGTCCTAGACACAATTAAGATAGGAAGCACCAGTTAAAAGTTATAGAGAGATTTAAAAAAATAAAATCGTTTTTTGGCTCTCCTGAAAATACGTGTTTTGTCCCTTACATTAATTGATACTTCTGGTGTCGATTTATAGCATTTTATAATAATGTATGTTGTCATGGACCACCTATGTAATTTAAATCACGGACTGTATTTTATTGTTCTTAATAAGTAGGTAGTAAGTGGAAAAACATACTTTCAACATCCATAAATACATGTTTACGTCGATATTAAAAATACATTCCTTATTTAAACGATTAACTGTACCTTTAGGAGGCCATTTAAAAAAATTAACGATAACAGAAAAATAATAACACCGTCAAAAGAAATTCAACATGCAAAATTGATGTTGCGTCATAAAAGAGTAAGCACTTAAATTGCCCAGAACGTATATTGTTTTTTATTAAATTGAAATTAGATAACTGCCTTTTACTTGATTGTTGAAATTCTTATCTCCCACCTAATTCAGCTGAGTAATAATTATAATAGCAGAAACTCAATATAGAATTAATAAGTTAAGCAGTAAATAAATTATTGTTTCTTACTCTAAGTGGGTACGTTATAAATAAAATTCTTTAATTAAAAACTGCCTCTTTCTGTCCTAAAGTGGCAACACTGAGTACATTAAATATTCTACCAACATGTAGTCGCAGAGTACTTAAAGCGCACTCAAAGTGCTATCTGATCAATCCATTATCGTGGTCGGTTCTGTCCAGGAGCTGTTAGGCTGGAGTTGGCGACACACATTTTCCATTTCCCCCTTGTCCCAACACCGGCCCAGTTCCGCGTCTTCCATAATTCAATCCATACTGAATCCATTGTGTGAATTTGTGTGACGATACTCCTCGATAACACCTATGTGTACGTTTTATGTAAGGATTTAGTGAAGGGACTTGTTTATTGTATGTTTCGCTCGATGGTGGTCCTTGTTTGTACGTATGTTTCCTTATCGTTTTTTAGTAATGGCAACAATCAATCCAGCGACAATGGATTTTTTTTATCTCTAAGTTTATAATTTTTTTTTAATTCTTCCTTTATATAGTTAGCATGTACCGAGGAACGGTTACATACACAAGTGGTGTGTGCGTATAGTTAGGTTATGAAATAATTATTATATGTTAAGATATTTCCAGAGGTATCAAAATACCCGTTAATTTGAGGACTAATTTAACAATGTACGTAAATACTAAGGTATATTAGATAGCAAAGTAAAGGTTTTATAAATTAGAAAACCTTCGTGGGTGGATTTTAGTACAAACATTTATTGTTTATGAATATTACTTACATTGGTTTAATTTAAGTAATTGAAATACGATTGTCGTGACTTGATTACAACAGATTTATTTGAGTTATTAAATCAAAATAGTTTATAAATTTAATTTAATATTTCGCTTATGTCATGCAAATGTTTGTGCTCTAAGAATATTCAACAACGTCCAGTAATCTATTTTAAGATCGAATGTCCACTGCTACATAGATATGCACTTTGCTTTGAGTGCTATGCCACGGTGACACTTCTGCGCCGGTGTCTACATTCAAAACGGAAAGGGTACAACAGATACACCGGCTTGACATGCTGAATTAAAATTAAACTTTGTAATGAATTATATCAAACATGCATTTTAGAAATAACAGGTAAGAAATTTTGAGGAATTTTAATAATATAATAACTAAATTTAGTCATTCATTCGTAGCCGACTTACCTACCTCTTCTAAAATGTTTAAAGCTCTGAAAGGTTGTCCTGTATATAATTAAATTTATCACTTAACACGATACTTGATCAAGAGAACAAGGGGTAGAGAATTCAGGGGTAGGGAGGTGTCGCTTGTTAATAACTTTGCCACATCCACCACATTGTGTATCGTGGCAGCGTGGTCACACGGTGCACTAACGCACAAGCAGTGTTTCCTTGATCCAGTCTATTTCGGCGGGATCCATTACCTCGAGAGCAGTGGCAAGAAGCAATCTCATTGAATGACCGTCTTTACCCCCGGCCCCCACATACTCACACTCCCACTGATCCACGCCAATCGGTAAATATGCGTGTTAAATATGTATGCGCTGTAAGATGCTCGTAAGTGTATTAGATTTTGCTTGCTTTTTCATTCTGTCAAGTTACTAAGTACACACACACTAGTCAGTGCGCACATAAACATATCCGCTCAATTTGCTTACGCATTCGACGCACGCACCGATTTATTTCCTCGCGAAAATTTGGGATGCCTGAAATATTAGTTGCCCTTGCTAATGTATCATTTCTCTTCAAGACTTTTAAAAGGGAATTAATCCTGTAAAGGGCTGGGTGAAAAACGTATACTTTCTAAAAAATAAACACACCTTCTTTATATTGCTGGATGGCTGTAGATACGAAATTCATTAGTTCCTAACAGTTCCCATTTGTTATGCTATTTATCTATAGCAACACATTTATTTGAATCTCTAGGTCGTTGTCTACAACGCTAAGTAATAACTCCTATCTGGCAAAAGCGAAAACTTGGAATGCACTTCGCACGAAGTGACTAGACTTTTCCATTAGGAGCAATTATCAGGCACAACAGAGGATCCCGTGCTTTCACCAGTGAGGCAACCCCATCCCGGCGACGGAACCTGTTAGAGATAACGTCATAAAGTCGCCGATGCAGAGCCGGACTAACGTCTTTGCTGTTGCGACGCCCTCACCTCGGGATAATGGACCGCACTCCCTGTGTACCACCCTGCCCCCTCTTTTCAGATGCGAATTTGTAATATTTATTACTAAAGACCTCGAATGTACGCTTACTTACGATAAATATTTGGATTTTGATGATATTTTTCGTAGCACTGTCGAAGTACTATCTACGTTCTCTCAATTTTCCAATTGACTTGAATGTGTTTCGCGCAATCCAATTTTTGATTTGGTAGTAGTCGTATCGGTTTATAACATCACAGTTTCATGAAACGATTCGTGCCGATATTCGCACTTATTCACTCTTATTCTGATTTCCCTCGAGAACTTTAAATTTTTCCAGGGCATTACAAGTAGTTTAATTTTTCCGAATGCTTTGAGGCATTAAAATTACGATGAAAAAACTTTTCTTCTGAATTAACGAGAGCCTTGGTTTCCTGCCACAAAAATAAGTCAAGTAATCAAAATTTACAATGTGATCGATTCACCAACTACACACGTTAGTAACAAGCTGTAACACCTCATCCCGTACCTAATATTTATCAGTTTAACATGATATTTTACTCAGCTCTTACGTAAACAATAATTACCACTAACATTATCCATTAGCTTTTAGAGATGTCCATGTATAGTGATGTTAAATAATCGGCTCATGACAAGCGTAAGACTGCTAATGAACTAATGGCGTATCAAACATCCCATACTCCCCCTCGGCCCTCGGCTCTCGGCCGCTCTCGGTTAATGGAGCAATGATGGTCCGTCACTCTACATTTGACTAGGCGGCTCTCACAGCGTCGCTCGCCACTTACCTAATGCCAGTACACTCACACACAATATCTACTAACGTGTTGTTACCATTAACTATACTCACCGTATGTACCTACAAATGTTTGTTTTGCAGGCACTTGTTCAAAATGATAAAATGTAAATAACCGGCATGTTAAACGAATTCAATAACGAATGGTAATAGATATCTACAAAAAAAGTTAGCTATTATCCGTGATTAGGAAAAAAGCGGGTTTTCTTCATTAATACGGGTGTTTTATGAAAAAAATGTGAATGGGATGTTTTATCACAGTTCTCCGACACGAAACATTTACTAACAGACAAATTGCAACATTTTCTTATTACACAACATTTTCTTTCGTACATCGGAAAGAATCTCAAATAGTAAAATCTTTTTAGGCTTATGTCCAGCGTTGAGTGGGTCCACAAATGTCGCTAAAAGGCTGGACGTCATTGTTTATCCGGGCAACATTAGGCGGGTAACCGGACACGCGCGTCCTGAGTGCGCTACAAGTATCCGCTTTCAACTCATTACGGCTCGGACGTGGTGCGTGGGCTGCCAACCCCCTCCCACCTCACACCCCTCGCCCATCTTTGTCCTTCAATCCCTCTTACAATCTTCGATCCAATTTCGAATACCCATACATCCGTCTAATGTTGGATTCCGTGTTTGATTAAGATGACATTGGATGGACCAAGGTTTAGGCGCGAATGGCTCTAAGTAAATTGATCTATGTGGCGCGCTGACACCACCTGCTTTATGCACACAAGTGTAACTGTGGGGGTGTACTGATTCTACATTAACAATTCCTTTGTTTCCTTTGTTCGTTTTTACCGCTTGACGTAGAAACCATGCTTTTACGTCATGTTTATAAGAACATAGATGTTGTACAAACACATAAGGTTCTCACTTGTCTCTTTAAAAGGTATTGTGTGAGATAAGAAAATGATATTTTATTAGCTCGAAGTTTCGGTTAAACCAAAAGTTAATCAAGCAGATTTATTCCAAATTAACAATAAAGAAGATTGCGACCTCATGTCAGATGTAATCGCAAAATAAAGTGACACAAGTATCTTAATCAAGTGTCCATTCCCGGGAGTTAGAGCCGGCGGAGCTGTCCGTTATGGGCGATTCCGTATAAAACTGGACTGGCGCGGGTTGTTCGTCCCCTGCAATAACAGTTTCGACAAATTGAGTCCGCTGACATTGAAGCTGGCTACGACAATGTAACCGGCCATTAATATACTTACTTGTGAGCTCAATTAACTGCATGCAAATATTTAAACCCGTACACGATAATATCGCCCATTCTTCATTGAATTCAATTTCCTCTATACCTATTATGGTATAGAGTATAACCAGTTGTATAACATACATTACATCGTATATTTTATGAAGGCAGATGGGATATCTATCCACCTTCATGATATTTACCTTTACTCACTGTTTGTCACTTTGTCTGTATCATACAGGTTATATCTGTACTCATACAGGTATACATTAGTCCCATTTCTGATGTAAAAAGGATCATAATTTGTACTTGGTCCTGTTGAACATTTTTAAATCACAATCCAGTTTAAACTGATCGAGGATCTCGTCAAATAATAGTTTGATTAATGTCAGATTAATTCGAAACAACCTCACAGCAATTACAAGCAGCAAATGGCTTTAACTAAATAGTTTGAGTTATTTTATGAGAAAAATCATGTAGCGAGTTGCGGTCGCTGCGAGCTTACCGTACCGACCGCAATAACATAACCGTTTGGACAAATTGTGGCTCGCTCGGGCCCGGATTAGCGGCTTTATGGTACAATTCCCGTATACAATACCATCTCCAGCTTCCTGATAATTGATATCAATGCGCAACGTCCAGCAGAGAAAGGAATTAAGCGCTCATTTATCTGTGTTTCTTTTTATTACATCGCCGCTTGACTCCACAAGGCTAATTGAAGGAGGAATTGGACAGATTGCTCGAATGACTAATCAAATTAAAGGACGCAAACTGCTTACTTTTGTTGCTCTTTTTGCGGATGAATTAATGTTGTAATTACATTTTAAAATAAGTACTAAACGTGTTATTATTGATGTCGTATAATATTTTTTTGTCAATTTATATAATTCTCTGTTTACATTAGGTATACAAGTTCTTTGTTCCTGTGCTTTTTATAATATAAACTGATTGAACCGTAATTAAAGTTACCCAATTTATATTTGTATAAAAGTTTCGCAGTTTTTGAATTAGCTAATTTCATTTAAATCTCAAATCAGATAATACCTACAACCAAACAGCGAGCGTAAATTAGTTTTTTCTTAACACAAGCCATTCTGAATAGTAAACAAAATGAATGGGCCACCCTAAGCAAAGTTTAATCCGTTTTTATTACGAAGAAAAGAAGTAATTACTCTACCCTTAACGCTATAGAGGGTTGGAGCCCGAGGTAAAAATTTCCATAGATTTATCATAAGTAAATTAAGTTTATAATTAAAAACAGGAGTTTTGTATAGAAGTAATTTGAATATGTAAATAATATTCAGCATGTTGCTTATTACAAGAATCCGCCCGGCTCCTTAGACAATGGCTGGTGGCCGCCTAGTCGAGATGAAAATATTGTAGTTCCTCGAACTCAATCATTAAGTTAATCACGACACTATTAAAATTATTGAACGTTACAAATTATTTATTGATAACAACAACAACAACGACAATTTTATCGACTCATAGAAATTGTATCAAAGGACGTGTGGTCTCGTGGAGGCTGATTATGAAGTAGGAGGAGGGCACGCGCCGCCCCCCGCAATTATCTCCTCTCGCCGCCCTAATTATTCCATTAGCTGAACAAATAATGATAAATCAACTGATTAATAGTTAGCTTAATCAATAATACATCCAGCAAACTCGTGATTGCTATTCAATGAACGTTAATCACATATTGACGACAGACATTTTTAATCATACAGTTTTCAGTAAATTCTCATGATTACAAATAAATGTTATTTTGTTTATGTAAGCAATTCAGGCGTCACCACATTCACGAGTTTTTCAATTAGATTGTAAAAAGAATTCAATTGCCTTTTAGGGCTGTCCGCAGCTAATATTGACATAGAAAAGTAGTTTCATCTTTGCGAAATCTGCGAGTGTCATTCAGTGGTGTCGCATTCTAACAAGTGGTTACGAAACCTGGAGCCGCATAGAGACGTTCAGTAGGCTCATTCAACCGCAGCCAACATTTTCATCCCGAGTGACGGTTTTATCACTTCATCAAGATACCAGCGAAATCAATTTAAAGCCCGTAAGGCCGAGCGGACTCACCTAAGAGTCCCTAAAAGTCCCGAAGGCGGGCGTCCCTGCCGCCCGTCTCGTTCGCTCGTGCCCGTTTATAAACGGTTTTATTGCTTTCGGAGCAACCGAACATTATTAAACTTTTCCAATTTCGATTTATCACGTAGCTGTCGGAATTTAATACCGCCCTACCTTCGGCGGAGGCGATCGCCCGCCGCGTGATTACAATACACGTCGTTAATAATACGAGTTGAGTGCGGCGCGACTCAGCTGACTGCCGGAGTGCCGGAGCGCCGGCACCACGACCGCGACCACCCTCTCGACACCAACGCACCCCTTTCTGAGCACTCCATTGATACATCTTCTTTAACACGACTAATGAATCTTGGAATTTCATTCGTCCTGAAACCTAGCTGCAGACGAAGTCAGTCGTATAACCATTTAACATTTTGAATTACAAATCGCTATTAGTGCAATTTTAAAGATATACTCTTAACAGATCGGAAAAATTGTTAAGAAACATAAACACAAACGATTGCAATTTATTTGGGTACATATTAAGATTTTTTTCAGATTTTCTTAATATCAAAGATAAATAAGAAAACTATTAGAGAAAAGCTACAAGATAATTTAATATGTAAACCGTACCTGTTTTACATATCTGAGAATATCATAACAAAATAAAGTCTGTATATCGGCCTGGGTTAAAATTATGAAGCTAAAACTGTATGTTATTGAAAACGTGACTTACATTTACATAGGTTAGCATCCACAAGATTTTGTATACAAGTAAGAGTGTATTTTTACCAAGTACAATATGCTTCTCCTATCTTAAGTTCACATTTAAATGAATTGAATTATTATTGTACTGTCAGGTTAATGAATCAAGGTTCTGAGAAAACCACAATTAAATTAATTTTTCAGGTAGGCCTTAGTTCCCAAGGGAAAATAAAAAAATCCCCTGTGTGGTAAGGTATTGTACTTCACAACTGAACGCAACTTAACATAAAAGGTATAGAAAATTAACAAAGCTACACAATCACCTGATAAATTGAAGTTTTCTATCACTAACAAAGGTGTGAGGAAATAAAAAAGTTTGTTATAAATAAAATAATATATAAAATAGGGAGTGTGGTGGCGAAACGTAGCATCGGCGATCGCGGCCGGCCGCGGTGCAATCTACTCACATTCATAGGGCCAATCAAGCACCGACCCACTGCCATCCGCGCCCCTTAGCTACACCCCGGAGAGGTGCGTATTCTGGCTTGTGTTTGTTTTAGTTATTTATTTTTTGCACTGTTTTAGACGTTAGGATAATCTGATAACTTTGTTAACAATGCTCAATAGTTATTGTGTACAATCTGTCATTTTAATAGTCGTAATAAGAAAAGTTAGATAATTATGACATTTCTGTGTAGGTATACATAGTTCTGTTGCTAGGATTGCATCTACCAAACCAATGCCGATGAACCGATTAATGAAGGATTAACATGTCAGAAACCAATCTTTAGATATTCTTTGAAATGCTTATAACTGGAAAACACCACCATTAAAAACTATCGTTGAAGAACTAACACCGTTCAAGGTGACACTGTGTGATCAAGTGATGCTGAACAAGTAATTGAAGCTCACTGAGCCACAGCAATCAATGTGTTTAGATTTAAAGGCTAACAAGTAACAAGCAAAGTTGAAGGCGTCTTGTTAGCCCCGCCCGATGTTAATGAGGCTGTCACTCTTATTAAAACTCCTTAGACTCATTCTATCTAGTTAACTGTTCTCAAGAATGATAAAGTTCCTTATACGTAAGTGATATTATAAATTGCGAAGTCTCGACACTCAGTTTATACTTGGGTGCTACGTAAATGGTGATGATATTAAATGGTTTATGAGTCCATCTTTGGTTAGTGTTGGGTGTAGTTTATGTGTCGACTGCTTTATTGGTGATTACGATTGTAATTAACGGCAGTTTGTTTCTATTATTGACTCCATAACTACATAGTTGGATAAAATGAACACGTGAAAATGCGTACGCAATAATTTGAGATCACTGAGAAGTTAAGAAGCATACGGCCCACCTGAAGGAAAATGGTTACCACAGATTATGGGCATTTGCATGACCACAAGTGCAGTTTACGCCTTGATTACACAAAACAATTAATAAAATCATGCAGATCTACTCTTCAGTAAAATTACTGTCCGAAGTTAATCTAAAAGAGAAATTCCCATGTTGTCCTAAAATATAATAACTCCAGCTAACAAAGGATTTAGTTTCCGTTGTCCGAATACGTCCCTGTGTACCGAGCTCACGTACGACCGCTCGTAAGTTCAATGGAGGTGTTGATTAAAAATATTTCCCATGTGCGGCGTATAAGGCCCAATTGGGCAAGCAATCAACCGCCCGCGCCCTGCCCGCCCGCTCCGCCGCTAATCATGCGCGCTACTTATCCTGCTTATTGCAAGCTTTTCCTCCGTACATGTGTACTTTTTATGTCTTCATACACATTACAGGTACGTAGACAAAGGAAGATGAAATTGATTAAGCAAAGGGGAGTGTGGGGATATTGTTAGTGGAGTAAGGTTGCCAATAAAGACCTTTGAGTTTAATGACTATGTTGCTGGATGACGTAAAACCTTTTTACATTTTACTTAAAAACTTAATTGCAACAGCAACATTGTACGGTATATTAGGTATAATTATATTTATTAAATGAATTTACGACTTGAGCGTGCATTGATGTCTATTATTGGTGGTAATTAGGTGCTACGAGTCTCACGATAATTACCTACATAGTAATGAGCGTTATTCTGGGAAAATTTAACAAGTTACGAAAATATTTTCCTGATTAAAATTCCATTGAGGACCACGCAAAACATATTGAACAAACAACAATAACGTTATTAGGGCTCAAAATACTTTAAAACAAAAATGTATCTAATGAATGGCTGTGTT